GAGCACAGGATGCTCTCCACTGCACACCTGTAGAAGGAGGTGAGGACTGAGCTTCCCAGACCAGCTCGCCTCAGCCGTCTGAGGAAGTAGAGTCTCTGATGAGCTTTCTTGATCAGGCTGGTGGTGTTGTTGCTCCAGCTGAGGTTGTCATTCATGTGTACACCCAAGTACTTGTAGCTGGAGACCACTTCCACCGCAGATCCTCTTATGTTCAGGGGGGTGTAGGTGTTTTTGTTCCTTCTGAAGTCCACAATCATCTCCTTTGTCTTCTTCACATTGATGTGAAGGTTATTCTCTCTGCACCAGCTCTCCAGGTGTTCCACCTCCTGCCTGTAGCTGGACTCATCATTGTTTGTGATGCATCCCACCACCGCTGTATCATCTGCAAACTTTACAATGTGACAGCCTGGATGGGTAGCTGCACAATCATATGTGAGCAGAGTAAACAGGAGGGGGCTCAACACACATCCCTGAGGAGAGCCAGTGCTGAGGGTTATGGTGGAGGAGGAGAGGTTGTGGATCCTCACTAACTGTGGTCTGTTTGTTAAAAAGTCTAGTACCCAGTTGCAGATGGAGGGGCTTAGTCCTAGTGTGGATAGTTTGTCCATCAGGGTTTGGGGGATCATGGTGTTGAAGGCGGATGTGAAGTCCACAAAGAGCATACGGACGTAAGAGTTTTTCTGCTCCAGGTGGTTGAGCGCAGTGTGGACCACAGAGGAGATTGCATCCTCTGTTGATCGGTTCTCACGGTATGCATACTGATGAGGGTCCTCGTTGATGTTGATGGTTGTTTTGATGTGAGTCATGACCAGTTTTTCGAAGCATTTAGCGACTATCGGGGTGAGGGCCACTGGCCGATAGTCATTCAGACCAGTCACTGTAGAGCTTTTTGGGACTGGGATGATGGTGGCAGTCTTCAGGCAGGTGGGAACTGTCTCCAGGGTAAGTGAGGTGTTAAAGATGTCTGCCAGCACCTCGCAGAGCTGATCAGCACATTCCTTCAACACTTTTCCGGGGATGTTGTCTGGGCCAGTTGCTTTGTGCGGATTAATCCTCCTGAAGGTACTCCTTACTTCTGCTGAGGTCACGCTGAGATGCTCTTCATCCGGTGGTGAGGTGAGTCTGGTGCTGGGTGGTCTGTTCGGGTCTTCAAAGCGTGCATAGAACTTGTTGAGGGCATCAGGCAGAGATGGGTCTTTGGGACATTGTTCACTCCTTCCTTTATAATCTGTTATGCACTTAATGCCCCTCCACATGCTCCGAGGGTCTTGTGAGATGAATTGACCCTCACAAGACCCTCGGAGCATGTGGAGGGGCATTATTATTATCTACTTAACTTTTTTTTTTTTTATTCTTTTAATCTTATAAACTCTTTTTTTTTTTTTTTTTACCTATTTGTGTTTTATTTCCAGTCTGGGACAGAGACAGCAGCTGAGTCTTCCTCCTCTTCAGGGAAGTCCACCAGAGATCACCTCCAGCTAAGAAGTGTGTGATGAGTGAACTGTGAACTTTTCCAGGGACCTGTTCCACCTGTGGGAGCAGCTCCAAGAGGCTGTGACTAATAATGAGGCCAAATGCAGCCACACTGAAAAACGATCAAAGCTCTACCTCTTTATTCCTGCTACTGTTGCTAGTGAGAGGTTTCCTCCACCGCTGGAGATGTTCAGAGATATTCACTGCAACTAGATCTGTGATTTTAGGAGAAAATGTGGACAAGTTGGTCTTTTTGACCAAAAACTTAAACTTGACTAGTTAAGATTGTAAACTGTTGCTGCTTATTGTTCTGGTTCTGACTCTTGCTGTATTTATTAAGATTTTTATTATTCTTAGTATAGTTTATTTATTGTAAAGAGTGTTTATTTAAAATATCATCCAAATGTGTCACTTTTATTTATTTTTATACAAACGTATTGTTTACTTGACATATTTTCAAAATAAATGTTTTGTAAGTCTTCACTGTCTTTTTTTGTACCAAAAATGAACCGAGCCGAGCCCTGCTTTAAATCGAACTGAAATGTGATTTAGCGTACCGTTACACCTGTAGCTCAGTCAGGGAGTGCAGTAACGTCTCCACCGTCATTAAAACCTGTCACAGGTCCATTTTGGGCGTTCAGGTTTGTTTACGTTCATCACGGAAATAAACTGGAAGTAGAACTTCTTTATCTGTGATTTTTTTTAAAGGAGAGTTTACCACTCTGCACGTCAGTACTTCTGTTCAGAACAAAAGCCCACTGCATGTGAACGCTCGTCATGAACGGATTGTGTCCATGTAAACGATACATTTGAATTATTTAGGTCGTTTTCACACCAGATAGTCCGGTAGACTCGGTGTTCACACCTCCCTAAACGAACCGGACTTTCTATGAAAACGAGCTAGAGTTGGATTAAAGCGGACTAAACAGGGCTGGTGTGAATGCACCCTCAACCTGAAAACATTTCAATCTGGTCAAAGAATTTTGCGCATGTAAACACAGCTAGTATAAGGAGTAGGGCACTGAGTGGTTAAACAGTGGTTATCCTCCCTGAAGAATGAAGCCACAGGGTGAGGCCTGGCCTAGCATTGTGTTGTGTGAATTGATGCTTTCAGTGGGGAGGGGGCTCTTCTTAAAGTGTACTTCTGTGTGCTCATGAAAGTGTTAAACATTGAAATGGGCACTTAACAGGGTTGCCTCTTTGACTGAAATATTTTCCATTTCAAAATATGTAACGGTCTCTCTCACAGACTGGTTTTTATTTATTTATTCATCATTGTGGATAAAACTATAGATACGGACCTAAAATGTAATGTAGTAGTTGCAGGACATCCCCATCTTATAGTCAAAGCCCTTTGGAGATTGCACTAAACTTTACAAATAAAAATAAAACTTTTCCATTAAATATTGCAGTCATCTATGTCTGTTAGAAAAGTGTTTCATGAACCACGTCTGGACAGATTAAGTGCTTGAATTTCAATCAAAACCGTCGTCTGTACTACATCTACAACCCAACAGTTTTCAGTCAGGTCATCTGGACTTTGCTGAAACGTTTCACCTTCCATCCAGAAGGCTTCATCAGTCAAGGAAACACACAACACAAAACTGATTCTTCCCCCGAACAGCTTACTCCAAAGTGGAACAAACCAGTTATGTTGGTGGTAAGATGGTGTTTTTGGCACACACCCTCCTCTGGAGCTGGCCCTCTTCCTTGTTGACAGTCGTGTCAAACTGGTTCAAAACCAAAAATGTCCATGCTCAATAATCCAGGTGTACAATCCAACAATTTTCAGTCAGGTCATCACTTTGTTGGTTTTGAACCAGTTTGACATGACTGTGGACGAGGAAGAGGTCCAGCTCCAGAGGAGGGGCCGTGCCAAAGATAACCAGTATTTATAGTGCTGACTGGAATATGACTAGAGTAATAAATAGAAACAGGAACTGGATAGAACAATTATTTAATATCCAGTTAGAAACAAATACACGGTAAAACTATTAGGCATTAACAACCTAACACTCGTATGTAAACTCAGATCATCTGTTTGAATAAGACGGAAAAACAGTTCCGTGAAAATGACGTCACATTTTGTTGTTACCTGTCTGTGGGCTAATACCATGCTAGCTCACGTGAGCGTGCTGTCTAACACAGTCAGTCCTCTGGACGGACGTAAGCAAGACACAAGGTTTTACCTTCTGCATCCGTCCAGAGGACCGACTGCGTTAGATGTTTCTGCCTGGATCATGGAGCATGCTTCAGGATGTTAGCATGTTAGCTTCCGCAGACTCACCGAGTGATTGACGCCCCATATAAAGACGCCCAGGACCGGCTCGCTCGCTCGAAACACCTTCACCTTCTGCTGCACGAAGTGCTTCTTTTTCGTCTTGGTTTTGGGTGCCAGGTTCGTGGTCCCCGGGTTACCGAGGGCAGCCATGGCCGCAGTCTTCCGTCGTCCCCTGGACAGCTGGGGCGGCGCAGACACGTCTTCTTCCTTACGGGTAAAGCAGCCTCCGGCAGCAGCTCCTGCTCGCGGAGATTACTCTGAAAATCAGGTGACGCGCTGAACTCTGGCAGGTTAACCCCAGGTGTTTTACTAAAACAGCGCGCGCTGCTGAAATGAGCATTACTCCGTGTGATTAGTGACTCGACCAGGCGCAACTACAGAACACAGCGCCCCCTCGAGCCCACACCTGGCATCGTTTTCTACTTCTCCATGGACGCAGATGGAAACACTACAACATTCTGATTCCCTGTTGCATGCTCAATAATCCAAGAATGAATTTAAATTTACTGTAGTAGCAGAGGGTCAACACATACTCTTTAGTGTGCCATCACTTTGCCACCTGAGACTTCCTCAGTCTGAGGTGCTGTATTCAGCTCAGTCTCTTAAATAGCACCTTCTCAGAGTGGATCAACCAGTTTGCTGCTGACAACCAGAACCAGCTGATCACATGCTCAAGAAGGACCATCAGCCTAACAATGGATCATTAGCACCTGATGGCTGTTTACTATTCACAGGGGGTTGAATTATACTTTTTTTTTGAATGTCCAGAGGACCAGATTGAACTTTTTTGGATTAGATCTAAATATTCATCTTTTCTGCTCTCCTCCAAAATAAAAGAAATGCAATTTAAAATGAGCCAGAAAAGGGTAGAGTGCCCTCTCCGGGTCAGGGAGGAGGTCCTGCCCCAAGTGGAGGCGTTCAAGTATCTCGGGGTCTTGTTCACGAACGAGGGGGGAAATGGAACGTGAGATCGATAGGCGGATAGGTGCAGCGTCTGCAGTGAAGCAGGCGATGTACCGGTGAAGAGAGAGCTGAGTCACAAGGCGAAGCTCTCTATTTACCGATCGATCTACGTTCCTACCCTCATCTATGGTTAGGATGCCTCCTGGACGCCTCCCTGGTGAGGTGTTCCGGACACGTCCCACCGGAAGGAGGCCCAGAGGAAGACCCAGGACACGCTAGAGGGACTATGTTTCTCGGCTGGAATGGGAACACCTCGGGATTCCCCTGGAGGAGCTGGACCAAGTGGCTGTGGAGAGGGAAGTCTGGGCCTCCCTACTTAAGCTGCTATCCCTGCGACCCGACCCCGGATAAGAGGAAGAAAATGGATGGATGGCAATTTAAAATTATAAATAAAAGGTACCCAACTAATGATTGTCTGAGACACAGGTTTAAAATGGATGTGGATACATGTGTATTCTGTGAGAAAGTAACTGAGGATTTAGATCATCTGTTTTTCACATGTACAATCCTTTTGGCAGGATCTTCACCAGTTTATCTGTGTTCATGGGATACATTTAACAGATATAATCACCCAAGAGATTAAATTTGGTGTCATTATTAATGATCATAACATTGACTACGGTATAAATAATGTTCTCTTTTTAGCCAAACGTTCAACCTTTATTCATTCAGGTAAATCCCACTGAGCCTCGAGGACTCATTTACAAGAGACACCTAGTTTCAACAAAGAATGATGACAACATGACAGTTATAAAAAGGCATACAGATTTTTATTTTTTTTACAAAATAAAATAAGATGGCAAAAACAGTAACAAAAACAGCTAGATTATAAGGCAAATGTAGAAAACTAAAAACAGGAACATGTCTGCGTTAGTCCTTGCCAGGAGCAAACATCACATGCACAAATGTTGCTTCAACCATCCCTAACTTTTCACAAGTAGGATGAACATATTATTGTTAATATTTTGTAAATATAATATTACTGTACTGTATTTATGTCCACCAGCTGATGTGATGTTCAGTGTAACACGGTGTTCAGCTGCAATGAAGCTGACTGAGATCTGATGACAGGAATATTTTGCTAACAATCAAACTCACTATTTCAGTAGCTTTGGTTCATTATCAACAGATATGCATTTTTTTCAACACGATAATGCCAGACCACATTCTGCAGCAATCACAACATCATGGTGTAGTGATGTACATGAGGTACGTGTCACTGTTGTATGACACAATATATGAATTATATATGCATACAATATTCACGAGTTCTTCATTTTTCTGACTGTAAATGCCGTGCATTGAATTTAACAGAAATGTGAACGAGAGACGTTATTTATCTTTGACCCATCAAATGAATGGAATCATTTATTTTCAAAATCAAAGTTTAACATCAAACATTTACATTAATTTGGCAAAATATGAAAATAATAACAGACAGTTTCACAGAAAATGAACTTCAAATCACTCGGCGGTGATTTGAGGACTTTGCTTAAGATATTTCTAAAATATCTGTACTGATTTATGAGAGAGAGGTGGGTTTTAGAGTGAAAGGAGATTATCTTACAGAGAACTGTGTGAGGGAAGTTTAATCTGTTTAACCAGAAATTGCACGCTTCGTCAGATCCTCAGCCCGTCCACGGTACACTTGAGTCGAAGAGGAAATCTTTACCTGGTTTGACGATGGATCAGCTCAGTAAGAGTCCTTCAGACTGTTTCAGCGCCTCCGTTCAGAACAGCTAGAAATCCTCGGAGAGTCGTGCGTGGTTAGTTCAAAACAGAATTATAATCCCAAAACGTCCCTGGTTCTTCATAACTCCAAACTCTTCATAACCGGCTGCACTCTCAATCTGCTCATTCTGTTGGACTATCGGACCTGTTGTCAGCTCTCATTCCAACATCTCTCAGAACTCTCATTCTCTTGGAATTCTGGAATTCTTAATTCTTCTCATTCTCCCAGACTCTTGGACTCTAACATGAACTGAGAAGTTGCCACATTTTATTTGGGTCGACTTCCTGTTCAATTTAGAGCTTTCTGATTCGTGGAAGGACCAGAAAGAGGAGTGGTTTCTGACGTAAGTTGTTTATCAACAGTCGAGGTCAGAGAATGAAACTTGTTTAACATACAGAAAAGATTATTGCAGAAGCAGCAGACTTTTTGGAGTCTCACACTTTGTAATCTTCTGAAAAAGTAAAACATGACATTTCTTCTTCAGTAAACATTTTAGTTGACCGAAGACCAACCTTTCACATACTTACGACAGTTTGCTCATTTCAGACAGGAAATCAAGAAATGCATATTCAGGTGATTTCTGCTTTGAATGAGGAATAAAAATCATTACTTACTGTTTATGTAAAATAAAAATTAGTAGTTCTTTTCAACCTGTAAAGCATTGAGTGAACTAACACAATTTGATTATCAAAACATTTGTAAGACAGCAATGATTATAAAGGATTGTCTTTTCTGCTTGATTAATTCAAGAAAGAAAGTTCATCAGATGGTTCAGACTTATTCAGATCAATGAAAATAACAGTCTCTGTCCATCTGGTAGATTTGAGGTTATCTGGTTCACTACAGTCCCCCCTTTGGAAATCATCACCTGTCCATGGGGATGAATTCCAACCGTGAACTTAGACCTTCAAATGTCCTTGAGCTTGATGTAATCCAGCAAGGAAGACCAAAGTCAGAAGTAATCCAGAAAGGAAGACCAAAGTCAGAAGTAATCCAGCAAGGAAACAAAGTCAAGGTAATTCCACAATGTTCTTGGTATTCCATTGTGTTGATTATAATCCCATATCGTCTCGATAATCCCATTGTAGCAATGCCTTAACCCCTTGGAAACAGAGTCTGTAATCCATTGGAAAAAGTCATATAATCCACAACGGTAAATCCACAGCGATTGGAAGTGTTGATTAATCAGCATACAGAGGGGTGCCCTTGGATTGAACTGAAGAAGCGGCCACTGGATGAAGAGTTGAGACCAACGTCAGGATTGCAGGTCGCCTCCAGCGAAGGTTGTCTCCAGCGACGTCCAGCCTGTGCCGTTCTGGTTCAATGTGTCATGCAATTATGTGGTTTAAGGTGGGCTTATGAAGGGGATTTTACATAAGGCCTTAAACTATATGCATCTGGTGTGTAAGCTATTATGGTTGGGAACAGCTACAACTACCAGTTAAGGGGTGGAGAATGCTGAAAAGGGGTACTACAGGGGTTTATGCCTATAGAAAAGTGTTCCAAACTATTTTTCCATTTCTAACTTGGTTTAAGTTAGCTTTACATGGTAAAATATAGTTTGGTGTAATTGTCTGTTGTCTTTTAGACGAACGACTTGAGATTGAGTGTTTGGTTTTCCCATAAATGTTTTGGAAGTCTATGGCGAGACTTATCAAAAAGAATTAGCTATCCCCCCGAATAGAATTGTTCGAGTAGGTTCGGCTTAAGCGTTGTGAGATCAATGTAGATTATGGTACTCAAAGTAGCAATAATATACATTGACTCCGCAAAGATTGCAATTTAGTGAATGAACTGCATGTTGGCATGGTTAAAGGCTTCTTAGTCTCTAACTTACTACACAACAAAATTCATTCTTACCTCAGAAACAATCAAAATCAACTAAACAACGTTCCAACATCGACAAGAGTAGTGACTAAGCATCTAGAAACATCGTTTCACAGCTTCTCCTCACCCTGGTTGCCAGATTCAGTCACGTTGTCCCGTTTTATCAAGGGTAGGTCCTGTGAGTTTAAACTATGGTTAATTTTATTATCCATTAGTTATCTTCTGCTTGGATGACCCTTGTTCCCACGAGGTCAGATTTTGTGATGTCTTTGTCTCCTGAGGAGTTATTGCACGCCTTGTGTAATTTAACCTGGTTACGGTGTACCCATTTAACAGTTGGCTCTTTTTGGCCTTTACTGATTTTTATCTGGTAGATAATTGGAGACACTTTATCAGTTATCAGATGGGGTCCAGTCCATCTGGGCATCAGCTTACGGGCCAGAGTTCCGGTCCCGGACTCTACTCTCCCAGTTCTGGGTGCAAACGTGTAGTACCAGACCCTGTCTCCCACTTGGAGTTCCTCGTAAGAGGCCTTTTGGTCGTAGTACGCTTTGCGTCCTTCAGCTGATTTTTCCAGGTTTTTCTGTGCGAAAGCAAAAGTGTTCTTAAGATGTCTTTCCAAGTCTTTCATGTATTGTTGTGTGGTGTAGGCTGTTGCCATGGCAGCATCGCCTGGTTGGTACAGCAGGTGCAGAGGGAGAGTCATTTGTCGACCCGTCATCATCTCGAAAGGAGCGATGCCAGTCGACGTGTGTGGAGTGGCCCTTATGGCCATGAGGACCAGAGGGAGTTTCACGTCCCAGTCCTTGTGGTTTGCGGCTACGTATTTTTTCAAAATACTCACCACAGTCCTGTTT